CTGAACATATCTGATATGAGATTTCCAGGAGAATTTGTCATCAACTATGACACCTAGAAATTTAATTTCATGTACTCGTTTTATTTAGGCTCCCCCAATTTTCAATTGAAGTTCATTATCTAGTCTACGATTCCCAAATACCATAAATTTAGTTTTATCCAAATTCAGAGATACTATATTACTGTCACACCATTTCTTTATCTTCTCAAGTTCCTGTGAAACCCGTCCAGAGAGTTGCTGTAGGTTTTCACCTGATGCCCATATGGTAGTGTCATCAGCAAACAAAACCACTTTCACTAAATCAGAAACCTTGCATATATCATTAATGTATAGTATAAATAATTTAGGTCCCAAAACAGAACCCTGAGGCACTCCACATACAATGTCCAGCTCACTCGATTGGTATTCACCCAACTTCACAAATTGACGCCTCTGTGTCAAATAACTTCTAATCCAATTCAAAACCATTCCTCTGATCCCATATTTTTCTAACTTGTCCATTAATAATTCATGATTGATTGTGTCAAATGCTTTTTTTAGGTCAATAAATATTCCCATCGTGTATTTCTTCTCATCCATAGCACTTGTAATGTCCTCCATCAGGTCGGTAATGGCCAAAGATGTCGATCGGTTCGACCTAAAACCGTATTGGCAATCAGAGAGGAATGAAAATAATGCTCCCCTCTGGTGGCGCCGGTGGAACATCTCATCGAGGACACCGAAATGTCCAGGAACAGCCCCGTGTACATCGCTTTTGCAGAGCATTTTATTTAAATGAAAAAATAGGATGAGTTAGAAGCAGCACCCAAGAGAGATTAATGTTCAGATACTGAGGCAGAATAAGCAGCGTGCCATACATGGCCAGTGTCATTGCACTTCTCAGGTAGTCTGTGTAACTTGCCAAATCAGAAGAGGGAGAAGAAAGAAAAAGGAGGGCTGTCTTTGACAATTTGTGCTCATGCTTCTCTTCAGTGTAGCCCTCTGTTCAAACATTTACTTCCTTTTTGACGTTATTGCAGAAGATTGATTTTAAGTATCAAAATTAATGATTTGTGTGTGTTGACCAAATGTGTTCTGCAAGCTGAAATTCCACTTTGTGCTGGAGAGGCTGTACATATGTGGATAATTGAAAGCCCAGATGAAGGAAAGGAAAGGAAAGGTTGGCCCGTGCACTGCTGCTGTGAATGACACGAGTCAGACATCTGAAAATAGCATTAAACGGCGCACCAAACTGACAGCTGAATCCCAGTACAGCTCATTTGACAGCACTAGCGCTAGCAGCCAAACGTATATATTTCTCTTAACACACCAGTAAAGACAGACACATAACCAACATTAAAGCCTTAAAGTTGCTGTGTCATCTTGACCTCTGACTTCCTCATGGAAACAGCAAGCATTATTATATGACAAGTGTTGGAGATGGCATTTGTGTTTATTTAATGTGCACCGGTCTGCTTCACAAATGTCTTTTCCAGGTGTGACGGGAACAGGCTGTTTATAGAGGTTCTGCTGCAGGCCTGTGTGTGTGTGTGTGTGTGTGTGTGTGTGTGTGTGTGTGTGTGTGTTTATGTTTGTGTATGTTTACGAGTGAGTGGCATAGCATCTGGGGGTTGTAACGTGATGCCAAGATGCTGCTCTCCCTGGGAATGCTGATGCTGTCGGCCACGCAGATTTACACCATCTTCACTGTCCAGCTCTTCGCCTTCCTCAACCTGTTGTCCGTGGAGGCTGACATCGCTGCTGTGAGTAGTTCTTCACACAGCTACAGTATGTGTAGAACTACACATAGAAACACACAACAATAATAAAACAGTGTATCTGTGTAATAAAACAGTATACTCCACCCATGTAAATCACAGCTCTAGTGGGATGTTGGCGATGCTTTGTTTTGAAAACAGGTTTACAGTAACAACTTGATGAGGATGTTAAGCTTGTGTCTGTATTGTGCCACCCATCAAGTTTGTGACTTGGTTAAGCAAAGGAGAGCATCAGTCGCAGTAAAATATATTAAATCAACAGTAAATAAACTTAATTTTTCTATTTGCAGTACTCATTTGACAACAAAACAGAGAACTTTGATGACCTACCTGCGCGGTTTGGCTACCGGCTCCCCAGCGATGGACTCAAGGTGAGTTATTCACATCAGAAATGTTTGTGAACACATTCATTTTGAATAGTTGTCAGCTGAACAACAAGTCAATTTTTTAAGTGGCATATCTAAATATATGTGTTGCAGCAGCCAGCTACCCTTCAAAATGTTACGTTGTGTCTGCTGCCAAAAGTATACAAATGACACTGTGGCTGAACTTTGGCTCAATCAAAGATAATCATAGCATGTAATGCAAATGCTCCCAAGCATCGCTGCTCTGTGTTGAGCATTGTAACGACACGTTATTGTGAGGTTTTTCTTGGCCATCCCCCTCCCAACCTGACAACAGCACAGTGGCTGATCCACAAAGCTCACTAACAGAAGGGATGATTCATGTCTGCTGTCTTAAGCTGGTCATTGTGACGTTTGCAACAGTCGAGAGCCCAGTTGTTGTTGTTGTGCAAAAGATTTCGGCAAACAGAAGCGAGCTGATGGTGAAATGTCTTGTGTATTGTTTGGTGTTTGTGTTAATGCGCAGGGTCAGCACTGTATATTTGGACATCCATAATTACTGCCACTTAACTGGTTTTGAGGATGCTATGTTTAGCATCATTATGTCAGTCCCACAGCATAATTTTGGCATTGTCGTGACCCCGTGGCATATTGTAGGAATTAGAGCCCTGCTTGAGCTGAGTGTCAGCCCGCGTCTCACACTATGAACTTTGAAAATTTGAAAGCTGAACACGCTGTTGAAGTGTGAGAAAAGGCCCAGTCTCTCTGCGACCTGCTCTCGAATTCATAGCTGGTCTTATATCTGCCCTGTTGCAGTCTAGTTGAGACAGTGAGGCCGAGGACTGTGTTGTCCTGGTCCCTGCAGGCTACGTTCAATCCATCCATCCTGAAATTACCCTCATATTTACTGCATCTGTCTTTGTTTGTCTGAGTGAGTTTGGCAAGGAGCTGTTTCAGACAACAGTTGTTATTTCCAGCCACATAAAGGATGATGTTGATGTTTTTAGTATTTTGAGTTAAACTTACTTCAGATGTTGTATTACTGCAGTTGTTTAATGCCTAGAGACACCTCAGGCATCACAAGGCAGCACAAGCCTGTTCAGCCTGGTGGACTCCCCACAGGAAATGAGGTTTTAAACACAGCCTTCCCTGTTTTCATTTACACATCCAGGACTGTTTGCATTTCCCCCAGGGTTTCAAAGCAAGGTCACTGAAAGCCTGTGTGCACCTAGCCCCAGCTTGTGACTCTCACGTATTGAAACTTGCCGAACGTTTTAACCACGTACCGTCATATCATAACACTCACCCAATTTTCCAAACCATGGGCTCTTCTAACGGCACAGAATCAAAAATAATCTGGTCTAGTCCAGGAAAAAAAAATTCTTTTGTCACTTTTTCAAGGGAATCTTTTCCTTTTGCTGAAAAGTTATGATGGCTCTCACTTTTGTTTGTGAAAGTTGAGTGTGAATGTATTGTTGAAACATATTGTATTATTATTATTATTATTGTTATTTTGAAAATTAAGTGAAATTATTATTGAAATTGTTTAGATAATACATTAACGAAGCCGAGCCACTTTCACACAAAGACTTCATATCATGTCTCCATCATTCTTAACTGACGGTATGGGGTTTAAACATTTGGCAAGTTTCAATTTCAAATGCTGACAGAAGACTATCTCTGTGACTCCAGTGTATGTAGTGCATGAGTCACAAGCTGGGGCTAGTGTTCACCCACACATACGCAGCGGCCGTCTCATTTTGGAAAACAAGGTTTAGGTAAAATGAGGAGAACAGATGAAAAAGCATTCCACGCTGACCAAGTTTAGGTTTAGCCTTAAATGTACACTCCAGCCGACCTGTGCACCTGTGACCTCCTCATAAAGGAAAATAACCAAAAATACCACCGATACATTTCTCCTGGTTCGTCGTGTGACCTCGTTCTCCTTTAATGTGAACATTTAGACTGGTAACAGTTGGTCAGAGGGCCACTGTAGGCCTGTCACCCTCACCTCTGTTTCCGCTTTTTAAGTATTGGTGTTACTCAGTTGAGCGTGACAATGTGGTAATATTTTGATTGCAAAACATGGTTTGCAACAATCATATCATGTCACTTTGGTTCCCAGAATTGCTGCTGAGCCAGAAGACTAGCTTCAAAATAATTTTTTGCTTTGCTTTTTCATGTTCTGTGATTGTAACTGTGCTTTAGTTGTGATCATTTATGAGAAGTATTTTTTTTGACACAGCAGATAAACAGAGGTCTGTTCTACACACTGCATAGACAGGTTTCAGTGTTGTGATATTTAGATATGATATTGGCCAAGGATCAATGGTCAACTTAAAATAACTGCTTCATTTTCACAGGAAGTTTCTCATAATTCCTCTTTGGTTTCAGGTTTTTGGTTCTTATTCTAGTTCTGCACACACTTTCACTTCAACAATTACAGGCAAACCTGCAGACACAGCTTGAGAGGAGAGTCGAGTTTCCTTTGCATAGTCTCCAGTTGAACATAAGAATGTAATTGAAGTGGTTTGGATTTTTGTTTGTTGGAAGAATTTTTTGTGGGTATAAAAAGGTGGGAGGAAACGCACCCTTTGTGTCCTGTCCTGTCTCTCCCGGTATGGTCACACTGCACATGGGTTGTTATGGAGATGTAGCAGTAATGTGGCGACTTAATGCACCTGTACAAGTCAGTTGTTTTGTGCTAGGTCCTGGTAAGTGCATGACAGACAAGTAATCATAGATTTGTTTTCTTTTTACAGTGTCCAGATAACTCCCAAGTAAACAATGATAAAATGTGTCTAATGGTGTCTACACAACTACTTCAGTCTGTAGTTCTGTTTCAGGCATATCATTACTGGTTTACCATTTACTTACCCCTTGCATGGGGATATGTACATACACATCGAGAGCCGATGTACCAGAGCCGAATTCCTTGTGTGTCCGACACACCTGGCCAATAAAGCAGATTCTGATTCTGATCATGCTGACTTTCCCCACATTTTCTTCACCAAGTCTGACCCAGAAACAATCTCACATTTTTAGATTTAGGCTGCACCTGCCCCATTTCACTGGCATTTCATTCCAGGATAAGCATATGAAAGAATGTCGAGGGTTGGCATAGTTTACAGGTCTGATTATATGTTCTGTTGTAATGTTAAAACGCAGGGTACTGGTCACAAAGCAAGGTACATGCTAGTGTGTCTTTCCGTCTCAAAGCAAATTTGGCAACTTCATCTGCTTCCTGTTGTGGTCATGCTTAAGGTGTGGAGTTTTGAAGTGGGATAAGTAGGTTAAAGTGGGGAATCTGAACATTGAGGAATCTAAGTAGAGTCCCACAGGCTTTAATCTGCTCACAGGAGGCCCCAGTCAGGCTAGAACCCGTTATTAATTCTTCTGTTTCTGTTTGAAACCAGAGCAAATCTGCGAGTGACGAGATTAAGTGTGATCACTGTGCAGTAATTAGCTAGTAAAATCCCTCTTCTCCTTCCTTCCACACACTGTTTGCTCGACTTTCACGGCCTCACATCTCATAGCGTGGAGATAATATCTTTTCAATAAAGATATTATGTAACTACTGTCACTTGATGGAGCTAATATGGCCAGTGATCATCTTTATTTCTTTTAAATGTAAAAATAACCATTTTACACACCACGCAGTCCAAACGTTACCATTTATAACAAGTACCATCTACATATACATAATATTTAGGACAGTTGTACATGATGAAAAGCGCAAAGTTTGATCTGGGGATTTCAAAAACTGATATTGTTCATATAAAAGCTGTTATCAATGTAAGAGTGATTTAGTGAATCGTGTTGTCAGTAGTATTTGCAGCTTGACCTGTTTTTTTTTTTTTTAAGTCTCTTAAAAGTTACTTTCAACTGTATTTACTCACAGATCTCTAAGAAAACACCTCCAGAAATTCTGTGCTATATGGTGAACTGGGCAGTTTGCACTAAACATTTTCGGCACTTTTCGGAGTACAGTGACAGTCAAAAGAACCAGCAAAGGTTGTCTTTGGTCAAAGGTCTTGGAAAAATGAACCAACGATGAAGGAATCTAGCAGGTATCTTGTACTGTGTTATAACAAGTGAGACTTCTGACACTGAACCTTAAAGAACAAGCGTTGTCGGGTAGTTATTTGCAGATCGAGTCAGCTGCCTTCACACTGGGGCCTGCATAGGTTTACTAATCTGGCACAGGCCACTGTTTATTTGTGCAAATGGATCATGACCAAATGAGTGAATTAAGTTAGCTTAAGGTGGTATTAGATGGGTCCTCTGGTGTCTAAACTGACATCTTCGCACAGGCTGCGGTTTCCTCTTTACGTCTGTGTTTTGAGGACTCCCCCTCCTCCCACAGTTATTTCCTGTTTTTCACTCGGCTCTTTTTTTTTTTTTTATATATATGTTTTTTTTTTTCAACCCAACAGAGGGCGTTCTTGCCACTGGTTTTACGGTCCGGAAGAGGAATGTGAGGCACTGGCACAGTGATGTCATTTAGCAGTAAGGCAGGGCTGCACTGGAGGAGGCACCCATAGGTGACTGTGGTGAGAGCGGCAGGTGATTCCTCACGTTTCTCTTCCCTGACATGGGATTTTGCAGCTCTCCCTGATTTGAATTTGACTTTTCATAAACATTTACTCCAATTAGAGAGTGCATTTAGTACTACAAATATATATTCCTTCTCCCTACTGTAGTACAGTCTAACAAATTTGTTAGTAAATAGTCATTTTTCATGTGTGACTCAGCTGCTGCTTTGGACTCATGTCGGTGTGGCAGCTGGGAGGATACACTCTCAGAAATTCAGTTTGCTGAGAACTGACACCAGGCTTGTGTGTGTGCAAGAGAAAGTGCTGACTCTCCAACAGGCTGGGGTTTTAAAGTGCTGTCTTAAAAAAAGAGACAGAAAGAGCTGAAAGTGGCAGCAGAGTCCCAGAGTCCCACAGCAGTCCGCACTTTCTGTCTACCACCCTGCCTCTGACACACACACTCGTAGTGGTGTTAGTTACATTCGCAGATGAGCAGCAAAAGTTTAGGAATGTAAATCACACCAGGGCCCTTGCTTCTCATCTCTTTCTCCTTTTATCATCTGTTCTTCATTTATCTGCTCTGGTTGTTTGCTCCTTTTCTTTTCTTAGTCTGTCTGACTCTCTTTGTCTTTACCTTTCTATTTTTGTTTTTTTCTTTCTCTTTGTGTGCGTGTGTCTGTTTTGTTTTCCTCTTGTCAGTGTTTCAGTGGGTATCTGATTCCCTTTGCCTCCATATTAGTATCTTTTTTTGATTCTGTCTTTGTTCTTCCCTTTATCACTCTGTCAGCTTCTCGGTCTCTTCCTCTCACTATCTCCCACTCATCAGCCACTTCAAAAGCTCCTGTTGGAAATGGGACTAAGACAGGAAGCAGCAGAGAGAGAGAGAAGGATGGGAGATACAAGGTTCAGAGTTTTCAGGGCAAACTGAGAACAAAAGTATCCCTTCAATTTGTGGACTATACTACACACAGATGTACACACACCTTTATGATTCAGGAATATTCTTCATGCCACTTAGGAAGCTCTGTATTCATTATGCCTGTAGGAGTAGTGCTTGATTTGCCAGTATTACACCTGGGCTGCAGTGCAACTGGTCCTCAGCATCTTGTTTTATCAAGTTTGTTTTTCATCTGTGTTTTGTGATGGATGTCGTTAATCTGGGACAGATTATTTCATGAAGTACCTATTGCACCTACGACGCATGCATGCACGAGCACTGTTAAGCTGTGGCTTGTTTCGAGAGACCATGTAAACACTTTTACTATGGTGGCATCTGTAACCGCCCACACGATCAAATGCTAGGCTAACTTTATTCACTGATGCGGCAGAATAATGGTTTGAATTTGTAGCCATTTGCCACAGGGTGCATGTAATAGCCATAGATAATCTTATTTCTAGGGCGTAATCTCCACAGGGGATGGGGGACACAGCCCAACTGAATTATGAAAAACAGAAATTTGCACCCCTCATATTTGTCATGACCAGTCGTCAAATGCCTCAGAGCTCTAAGAAAATAAATCTTCTGTGCTCAAAAGTGTTTAACCGACTCCAGAACTTACTGCTGCCTCTTTAACAGGATACAGGCTCACTAAACAGGCCTCAAGTGAAAAACCTTTAGTGCTGCCATGCATTGTGATAAATATGATTTCAAGCCGGTGACTTGCCTGTAGCCCCATAACATTGAATGTAAATCACTTTAAACACCGACTGAACTGTCAAATCAAGATTAGATATGACCAGAGGTTTGAGAAAGTGAGGTCACGACCATTATTTATATTATATTTATATCTACAGACATTAAACCCTGTCACAGTTCCGCTGAGCAACCCCCTAACTGCTCCTTTTGTAACTTCTTAGATGGTCTGACATAGAAATGTGAGGCAGAGTTATTATTGTGTCAGCACTATAATAGTTCCATATGATTACTGGCTCTTTTTATCTGTTTCTGTTCTGAAAAAGTGTTTGAAGTTGGTCATGAATTGCCTCTGGAATACAGATGATCATTTATGCAAAATGGGTTTTAGTTTGTCAACCAGTTTATCTTTATAGTTTTAGTTTGTCTTTATAAAAGAAATGGCTTAATAAATTCCAGTTGCACTGTATCATTGCATCTTAGGACTAGAGTCAGCTGTCTGCAAAAGGACTCCTCATTTGACTCCTCATTTCCTGTTTGACTTCCAAGAAATCACATTTGCGTAAACTTGGGTGTAAGTCGCTGTGTTTCTCTCACTGTGCCCTCTCACTGATGTCATCCCTGCAGGGCTTCCTAATTGGTGCACGGCCAGAAAATGCGTGTGAACCTATTGAACCCCCTCCAAGGGACAACTCAACAGGTGCCTTCATCGTCCTCATCAAACGCTTCGACTGCAACTTTGATACCAAGGTACAACGTTTACACCCCGACCACTTCTAGTGGTAATCTAAACAAAACTAATTAACTTCATATCTAAGCTTGAGCACCTCAGCAAGTTAAACAGGGCACTGACTATCTGAACCAAACTATGTGCAACGCTGTTGGTACATTGAACTGTGGCCCTTGTGTTTCACTGACTGAATGCTGTTTTAGAGCATGGCAACACCTGGAAGTGGTTGAAAACACTTTATTTCAGCAGCAGTTAATGTATGAGGGCAAACTGCCAAAATTGTGCATAAGTTTGCATTGATGTGTGTTACTTCACACTGCATTCAGGTCAGGAGCTGGTTTCACTGAAGCTCTTAGATCATCTCACTGGGGCATGAAAACAGGAAGTGGCCATTTCCCTTAGCACAACTTCCTGCATAAGCACCTATCCCTCTTTTTGTCCTGCTGCTGCAGTTTTGTGTGGGTTTGTGGATTTGAGAAGTGTTGTTTGCCTAGTAAGTTGCAGAAGCATCTGAAAGATGGCGAAAGCTGATCTTCGTGACCATGTGTAGCACAGGAAAGGAAGCAGAGAGGTGGGCGCGGCCATCATAGGTCTGAGGTTGTGTGTCCGTGGTGTAGCTATGTCCAACAATGAAGAGGTTTGTCTTTCCCAAGGACACTTCAACGCGTGGACTGGAGAAACCGGGGATTGAACCACCAACCCTGAGTCATTGGACATCCTGCTCTACCTTCCGAGCTGCAGCTGGCCCTAAATATTGTGCCTAGTTTCTTGTTACAGTATTTCAAGACTTTTATTGTAAAGACTTTTTTTCAGGACATGCAGACATTCTGAATGGTTTCCAGACACATTACACATTGTCCTGTGAAACACAGCTGATACATTTGCCAGTGGAGCTGGTAGGAAGTGAATTGCAACTGCATCCTCTACCGATTCAGAAGGATGGTTTGTACCAGAAATCATTTGACTTTTGGTACAAAAGTCCTCCTCAGAAATCAACATGTGTCTCAAAGTTTGTCTATTTTTTTTTTTTAACTTAGGTTTCCACTTTGATGCTGGAGGAAAAATAAATTTTCCCTGTATGCTGTATGAAAATGTCAGCAAGAGATCAGTTCCTAAATGCGTTTCAGTTGTTCACTCGCTTATTCACTCAAATGTTTTGTCAGTCCTATCTTTTTTTACATTGTATACCATTAGATGGTCAGGTTCAGACACCACATTCTGGGACACTGGTTGAGTTGAGACAGAAATATGTGGCCCAATCCATGCTCTGCAGAGCATTGAAGTATTCCCTTTGCTGGAGCATAACCAGACTCCATTCACATAGCTGTGTGTCAGACAGACACACAATACACACACACACTGTCTGTGTGCTCGTAATGATTGCACATATCTCCAGAGCTCATCACATGGACACACAAGTTTGCTCTGTCTTTGACACACACACTAGTGCCTCATCCCCGTCAAGATGGAATCTATTATTCCTTTGTTTCCCTGTAGTTTCTGGAGGAAACTGAGCTCAGCTAAGAGGGTGTGTGGGTGGTGGTGGGGGTTAGACTCATTCACAGTGGACAGCTGAATGCTAGCTACCAACTGAGTGTCTGTGATGGGCAGGGAGACAGAAAGCAATAGAAAGGATAAGAGAGAAAGACTGCCAAAGGAAAGGTGTGTGTGTGCATCTACAGTTGTGAGGACTAGCTTGAAGGTTAAGACTTGGCTTTAGGGTTCACATTAGGTGTTAGGGTAAGGGGCTACTGTAGGGCATGCAGTGTCAATGCGTGTCTTCACAAAGATAGCTATGCAAATGCGCGTGTGTGTCTTTGTTGCAGGGGTGTCACTCCAGGCATGTTTTGTTTCATCGTTGCCTGTCCCTCCACAGCCTCTTCTGTTTCTCCTCTGCTAATTTAGCCATTAGCATCTAGTGAGCAGCAGCATTGTTTTAATGGTTCCCTGGCTATAATAGGCAATAAAATGGATGCTCACCCACTTAACCCTCCATCAAATGTTAACACCTCCGTCTGTGTTGTATGTGTGTGTTTGAGAGAGGAGGTGTGTGTGTGTTGCACGAAGACATGATGGGGAGGAGGTTGAATGTCGAGAGCGCTGGAGATGTGGAGGAGTGAAGGGGATCAAGTGAAGCGGTGTTGATAGGCACACTCGTTCTTTGTGGATGTGTGAGAGAGAGAGAGGAAAGCAGTCATCCATGGCTGTCCCTTTTAGAAAATACACTTCTAAAGAGACAGTGTTTGGACTTCCTGTGCACTGAGATTCTCTGAGGTGGCGGTGGAGGCCTCATTGGTGACCTTTCTGACCTTGCTAGGGGGGAAAGGGAATTGGAGAGGAAACTTGATACCCTTTTCCTCCCTTCTCCCTCTCATGAACCTCTCCTTTTCTTCTTTCTCTTATTTGCTGTCATCCCCTCTTTGTCTTTGTCTGCTGCCCTCTCTGTCATTGTTTTTAGTTTTCTTTTTGGTTTCCTCTCTCTTTTCTGTGAACTGGTTCCATTGTCATGTGGAAGAAGGTGCTCTGGTCAGATGAAACCAAAATCGAACTTTTTGGCAACAATGCAAAACGTTATGTTTGGCGTAAAAGCAACACAGCTCATCACCCTGAACACACCATCCCCATTGTCAAACATGGTGGTGGCAGCATCCTGGTTTGGGCCTGCTTTTCTTCAGCAGGGACAGGGAAGATGGTTAAAATTGATGGGAAGATGGATGGAGCCAAATACAGGACCATTCTGGAAGGAAACCTGATGGAGTCTGCAAAAGACCTGAGACTGGGATGGAGATTTGTCTTCCAACAAGACAATGATCCAAAACATAAAGCAAAATCTACAATGGAATGGTTCAAAACTAAACATATCCAGGTGTTAGAATGGCCAAGTCAAAGTCCAGACCTGAATCCACTCGAGAATCTGTGGAAAGAACTGAAAACTGCTGTTCACAAATGCTCTCCATCCAACCTCACTGAGCTCGAGCTGTTTTGCAAGGAGGAATGGGCAAAATTTAAGTCTCTTGATGTGCAAAACTGATAGAGACATACCCCAAGTGACTTACAGCTGTAATCGCAGCAAAAGGTGGTGCTACAAAGTATTAACTTAAGGGGGCTGAATAATTTTGCACGGCCAATTTTTCAGTTTTTTATTTGTTAAAAAAGTTTGAAATATCCAATAAATTTCGTTCCACTTCATGATTGTGTCCCACTTGTTGTTGATTCTTCACAAAAAATTACAGTTTTATATCTTTATGTTTGAAGCCTGAAATGTGGCAAAAGGTCGCAAAGTTCAAGGGGGCCGAATACTTTCGCAAGGCACTGTATGTTAAAACAACTTGAATAACTTTAATACTCCATCCCTCCTACTTTTCCTCTTCTCTTTCTTTGAAAGAGTGAGTTCAAAGGCAAAGTACAGGAGTGCTGGTGGAGAAAAATGGAAATGAACCTGAGATGCTCGTTGCATTTCCAATTTATTAGCTACACCTCTCTATAACTGTTTGACCAGAAACTGAACAGTATAACCTCCATGATGGTAGGTTTTATTCCATGATTAAACTACCTTATCAACTGGAAAACAGAGGGTATCGTATTACTTTAAGATGACTCTGTGTAAGCAGCTACTGTGGCTATAACTGACAAGTATGGGTTAATGGTTAATGCTAAAACATAGTGTCAGAGTAACGCAAGGTAAGAAATGTCATAAAGACATCAGAGTGGCTTACTAAAGTCAGTATCCCAGAGTATTGTTTAAAAGCACCCAGTGGCTGGTGGAGCTTTTTGTCTGGTGGAAAATTCCCCATCTGAGACCTACTGTAGGTCGTGCTATGAGACAGACCCAGACTTGTCTGGCAAAGGGGCAGTTCAGACTAAACGTCCAGTCTGCCGCGAATGCTTTTTGTCCTGCCAGGAAGCTGTGAGCTCCAGGTGACGGGACACCGATCAGGCATTGCGCTCTGAACAAGACACTCATTTAGTAACATTTACCAAAAGATTTTAAAGAAATTGCATATGATTTTTTTGAGATCATTTAGAAACAGTGATGCCATTACTTAGTTTAATCTAATCTAGAATTTAGTGGATCATTATCAAAATTTTCTATTATGATTAAAAATAGGTCACATAATGCAATACATAGTGCCATAGCCATGAAATAGTGTGCTTTTAAAAAATTTAAGGATAAATACATTAATAATGACCTAGGACTTTATTTCAGATTTATGCATTTGGGTGTATTTGAGGCACTATCCTAGTAAAAAGTAGAATTACCACTTCATGGTTGAATGCCTCCACCAACCATTCGAATTCACAGGAATGGTACAGATGTGAGAACACTGACCTTGACCCTTGACCTTCAGCCGTGGCTATCGCCAGCGTGTGAGCATAAAAATTTTTAAAAAAGGCAATTTTTTTTTAAATGCTACCTGGGTCTCTACTATAAATGTCGACCTGTTATATTTCTCTTTTTTCAAACATAAAGAGGAGGTTAAAACCCCCAAATGGTTAACGCATCATATTCACATGTGCTAGGCGGGCTGTGTTTAGTCTTGTGAGTCCTGACAGTGTAGATTTGTCAGCACCTATAGTAGATGTTGCAGTGAGGCAGACCCGCTAACATGTTTTATTCATTTCTGTCATCACAACATCTGTAGTAGTTTCATCTCTGTCATTTTGTGTTGAGCAGAAAAAATGACCCATTATGAGTAGAAATAAGGCAACATCTGGTGTATGTATGCGTTGATGTAATCTATGGTTCGTGACAGGTAACAAAGGGCCATCGATTGACAGTTGAGCCATCCAAATCAAATGTTACTGATGGAATCTAGTGAAGAAACATGTCAAAAAGACTAGGCTTAAAATCTCATCTTATCTTATCTTGAGGCATGGCCGTGCCAGGCTCCTTCTTCTCCACTTTATTATCACCAAGTCAAACGTGTGAAAAGATCTTGACGACTTGGGAGTGGTCAGGATGGCATTGTTTTCTCAGTTTATCTGTCCACTCAGAAAAATCCACCTGTGTGGCTTTGCC